GACTGAACACAGACGGGCGACGAGGAAAGGTGATGTCAGCAATCACATTGCTGAACACCATCGACTTACCAACCACAACATTGACTGGGACTCTGCGCAATGCCTAACCTACAGCACTGACTATTTTCAACGACTGACTCTGGAAAGCTGGTTTACTAACTTAGAACAGACTCCCCTAAACAGATGTCAACAACTACCCGCCCCATACAAACGACTCATTCACGACATAAACATCACAAACGACCGAAAAAGAACAACCTAGCTTTACCGACAGACCGAAACAGACCAATCACGAACGACTTACGTCACTTGAGTCTTACAGCCAATAACATCACGGCAAAACCAACCGATCATTTCACACGAACTGGAATAAGAACATTCTACTGACAACAATCACTCACTTGACTCTGATGATGACTTCCGCACAGGTTGTCGAAACGTCAGTCACTGCCACCGACAACAGTCCTTCTCAGGACTACACTCACCCGGACGATCAGACTACACCTTCACATGTTACCCCCGGGTTCAAACCATTTACTGCATATTTATCTAATTGCCTATTCAATCTAGATGCAAATAAATCAAGTTCTAATGGGCCCCAAAGATTATTTATTTTAGAAAATATTGCAGTGTTCAATTGCCACTCTGTCCTGTCATTAAACAGACGGGATTCACGGTCAGCAACAGTGTTGTCTTTCCCTGGTAAATGAGCTGTTGTAATCCAATTATCATGCTCTAGTGCCCACATCCAAATTTGTCTGGCAATATTATTGCATGGTCTGGACTTACTCCCCCCCATGTTGTTAACATAACACACTCCTGTTGTGTTGTCACTTTCTACTCGGATGTGACTCTTTTTTACATCATTGCACAATGACTTCAATGCAAACAAAATTGGTAAAAGTTCTAGCTCATTAATATGAAGGATGGTTTCATCTGGCAGCCAGCGCCCCCCTGTGCGCTTATTATTTAGTTCTGCCCCCCAACCTTCTTTTGATGCATCAGACCTTATTGTAATGTCTGGGTCAGTTTGCAATATTTTCTTTTTTGCATGGGTGATATTGTCACGCCACCATTGTAAGTCTGACGTACATGTCTCACTTATAGTACACAGTGCATCAAAGTTCCCATTATTAGCTTTAAGTATGTCTATTTTCTCATTTTCGAGATGTCGGTAAAACAACATGCCCATTTGGACTCCAGGTAAACTGGAAACTAGGAGTCCTATAATGTGTGCAAGATCTCTAATCTTGACTATTGATTTGTGCAAGAATTTAGTGCACTGTGATTGAATATTCAGGGCTTTCTCTGGCGTAATCCTTATTGTCATTGTCACCGAATTTACTATGAAGCCAAGAAATTCCAATTCTTGAGTAGGGTGAAAGGCAGATTTGACTGGATGTATTATAAAGCCAAGCTTTTGGAATAATGTCACAGTTTCTCTAACATTTTCCCAGCATTCGAGCTCTGATTCCCCTTGTAAATAAGAGTCATCTAGGTAGGGGACCAGGAGATGTCCTTTTTTACGAAGCTCAGCATATACAGGTTTCAGCAATTTAGTGAATTTTCTTGGGCAGCAGGCCAGCCCATTAGGGAAGCAAGTGTATTGAAATAATTGATTATTCCAATGAAATCTCAAAAATTTTCTGTGCTCCACTGCCACTGGCACTGAGTAATAAGCATCCTTAAAGTCTATTGATGCCATGTAACAGTTAGGCCTTATTAAGGTAGTGACTGTATGAATGCTTTCCATCTTAAAATGATGGTACTCAATATTCTCATTAAACTCTTTCAAATTTAAGATCAGTCTGTTCCA